AAGGCTGGAAGGTGATGGCCCCTCCCATAAGGGATAAAAACCAGCCCTCGGAGATGTGTTCTTCGCAGGAAGCAAAGAAGTTCTTTAGACTCAGAGTCCTCGTTGAAGCCCTGCTTATTCTGGTTTGTTTTTGAAACCTCTGTTGGTGGATATTTAATCAGTAATAAGTCAACTGTTCTTGGCAGCCTTTTGCAACCTTGAAAGGGCTTACTTTTGATATTGGACAATTAGGTTTATATGTCTCTTGGCTGGGAATGCACGGAATTCCCAGCGCCGCATTAAAAAAGGTTTGCTTTTTTGCACAATTTGTGTCTGTTTAATTTGAACAAGGCTTGGATCAAAACACACGCTAAATAAGTAAATAAAAAGCATTAGGAAACCATCTGGATGCAAAAGGACAGAGGGAAGGAGAGAACCACATAATAGCCACTTACCCGTCTGATGTCATGCACGGCTGATTCTCCTCTCGCTTTGTCGCGGCAGGCCAGAATGACACGGGCGCCTCTCTGGGCCAGATCCACCGCTGTGGCCTTCCCGATCCCTGCATTTCCACCTGGGAAAGGGCAGAGAAAGGATTCACCGAGATCGCCCAGCCTTTGATGGGGATCCAGGAGCCAGGCCTGCATTCCTGTGCCTGCAGTTGTCGTGGTGTCACACAGTGAAGCATTTGTTGGCAGTGTTTCTCAACCTTGGCAACTTTAAGACGGGTAGACTTCAACTCCCAGAATCAAAAGCAAGCGACATCTTGAAGATGTCCGTGCTCAGAAACTCTGGCTCAGGGCACAATTTTTACAGCTGTTTCATAGCAGTCTTATATCAACAAAGAAGAATGGCTTAAAATTATTCAGATGTAATACAGGTAGTCCTCGACTTACATTCATTCATTTAGTGACTGTTTGAAGGTAAATGGCACTGAAAGATGGGACGTTGGCTCTGCAGAATATGAGTTTACTAACACAAGTTACTACACAATTTGAAGGCCAATCCTTGCATTCATATCAAGATAAGAGTAGCTAACTAATTCCCCTTTTTGTCTACTTTGGTATAGCAACCAAATAGGATTTCTAGGTACAGGATAATTACAACCACAGAAATAACGATTGCAACCAGCCTGCCTTTCACAGAAGACCCGTATACCGAGTGGGTCAGAAGGAGGGCTGAGAAAATATCTACAGACCCCAATTGCCCCTCACTCTGCTGAACACTTAATGAGTGTGTGATTTACTTAATAATTGCAGCAATTCACTTTGCAACCATGGCAAAAAAAAATGATCATAAAATAAAGCAAAACCCATTGAAAAACTGCCTTGCCTAGCCACAGAAATTGTGGTCCTCACTGTCTCTGGAAGTCAAGGACCAACTGTACCGTAACGTTCATAGCAGTTGTTAGTGGCTAGTGGGAAGAGAGTTGTTTGTTTTCCACTTCACAGTTTAAATAAATCAGAATTAAAATTAGAATTCTTTATTGTGTCATTAGACACACAAGGAGTTTGTTGCGCTCAGTGTACATACAACCATAGTGATAGACTTGGAACACTGGGAAAAAAATGTGCGGACTACATTACAAATTAACTTTGTCTACAGCGTACAGGGAAAACCTGTACAAAATATAGGTGGCACCTACCCCCCTGCTAGGCTAGGCTGTTTAACCTAAAGCCAAATTGTTGGAAGTGTAAGAAAGAAAAAGGCACTTATTTTCATATGTGGTGGACTTGCCCAGAAGTCAAGAAATATTGGAACACAATTTGACTGTGGCTAGAAGAAATAATAAAAGAGAAAATTGAACCCAAACCAGGATTATTTTTATTAGGTATAACAACAGAAAAATACAACCAAAAAAAAGACAGATCTATTATGTTACATATTTTAACAGCTGCTAGGATTTCTTACACAGAATTTTGGAAGCAGGAAAATGTACCATCCGAGGGTGTTATTATAAAGAAAATATTAGACTGTGCAGAGATGGACAGGCTAACATTGAAATGGAGAGATAAAGAAGATTCAATATATATTATATAGTCTGGGACGCAGGGTGTGAATGGTTGAAGAATACAAAGAAATTAAAGTGGCAATTAGGTCAAGAATCAGAAATGATGTAAATATCTGTTACTGAGGAAATCGAAATATAAGATGAAAATATACTGATTTGTAGCAAAAGGAAGGAAAGAAATATGCCACGGTAATCAAATAAGAAGGTATGTACAGAAAGATGATCAGGAAATGTAAAAGATGTCTTGAGGTTGATACAAGGATGTGTAAAGTTCTAGTTTATGCTTTTAAACTTTGAAAACGGAGTGAAATATTTTTCAAGAAGAGAAAGAGAAATGACTCCCACTGCATGTCATGAATGAGCCCTGGGCAGCCAGAAAAAGAGGCCTCCACCCCCTTCCTAGGCCAGTCAACTGGCCCCATCGTCTCAAGGGGAGTAAAGGGCTGGTATAATAATCTCCCAATCTTAGAGGGGTTGCAAGCTCAAAGGCCCGGCGAGGGAGCATAAAACCCGGGGGACCCTCAGCCTCTCCCCCCTCTTCACCCAGGAGCTCCACGGAGGGGGGTCCTGAGTCCCCCCTGGAAACCGCCCTTCCAAGCAGCCTCCGTCTTTCCAGGGTCTTTCGTCCCACTTGGAACGGTACCCGGGGGGACGTTTCTCCCGGCCTAAACCCAGGAGAGAAGCAACCGGGCGTTATTCCGGAGGAACTGCCGGACAGGGAGGGCAGTGCGAGGCCCCCAGAAGGAGTCGCTCCGTCCCTGGAGGTTTCCAAGAAGAGACTGGACAGCCCTTGGCAAGGGAGGCTCTCGGCTCTCCTGCTTGAGCATGGGGGCTGGACTAGAAGACCTCCGGGGGTCCCTTCCGAGTCAGAGAGAGAGAGACAGAAAGAGACAGAAAGAGAAGGAAGGAAGGAGGGAAGGAAAGAAAGAAAGAAAGAAAGAAAGAAGGAAGGAAGGAAGGAAGGAAGGAAGGAAGGAAGGAAAGAAAGAAAGAAAGAAAGAAAGAAAGAAGGAAGGAAGGAAAGGAAGGAAGGAAGGAAGGAAGGAAGGGAACAAGCCCCCCAGCTGACCTGTGATGAGCACCGTCTTGCCCCGCAGGCTGACCGCGTTCCGGCACCGGGTGGCCGCCACCAAGTAGTAGTAGATCAGCGCGTAGAGCCCCAGCAGCAGCAGCAGCGCCGCGCCCGCCCCCAGCGCCCCGGCCGCCACCTCCATGGTCCGATCTCCGCTGGCCCCGCAGCCCCCAGCGCTTCCCTTATACCGGGACCGCCCCTCCCATCGCCCCCGCGTGGGAAAGCCCCGGGCACCGCACCGCTGCCAGCCTCCCTTTTTGCGGGAGGGGTCCCGCGTCGCCCCGCCTCCCGCCCCGCCCCCGCTTGGGAAAGCCACGGACACGGCTGCAATCTCTCCTCCCGAGCAAGGAAGGGAAGATGGCAATGAAGGGGAGGGTGGAAGGAAAGGAAGGAAGGAAGGAAGGAAGGAAGGAGATGGGAATGAAAGGGAGGGAGGAGGGGAGGGAGGGTGGAAGGAAGGAAGGAAGGAAGGAAGGAGATGGGAACGAGAGGGATTCCTTATTCTGTTCTATTCTATTCCATTCCATTCCATTCCATTCTATTCCTCTGTTCTGTTCTGTTCTATTTCTATGCTGTTTCTATTTATTTCTGTTTCCTATTCTATTCTCTATTCTATTCCTTACTCTATTCTATTCTATTCTGTTCTGTTCTGTTCCGTTCCGTTCCATTCCATTCAATTCCATTCTATTCTATTCTATTCCATTCCATTCCATTCTATTCCTCTGTTCTGTTCTGTTCTATTTCTATGCTGTTTCTATTTATTTCTGTTTCCTATTCTATTCTCTATTCTATTCCTTACTCTATTCTATTCTATTCTATTCTATTCCTTACTCTATTCTATTCTATTCTATTCTATTCTATTCTATTCTATTCTATTCTGTTCTGTTCTACTCTACTCTACTCTACTCTACTCTATTCTTTCTATTCTATTCTATTCTATTCTATTCTATTCTATTCTATTCTATTCTATATTCTATTCTATTCTATTCTATTCTATTCTATTCTACTGTACTCTACTCTACTCTACTCTACTCTACTCTACTCTACTCTACTCTATTCTTTCTATTCTATTCTGTTCTCTATTCTATTCTATTCTATTCTCTATTCTATTCTATTCTATTCTATTCTTTCTATTCTATTCTATTCTTTCTATTCTATTCTATTCTTTTCTATCCTATTCATCTCTATTCTATTCTATTCTATTCATCTCTATTCTATTCTATTCATCTCTATTCTATTCTATTCTATTCTATTCTATTCTATTCATCTCTATTCTATTCTATTCATCTCTATTCTATTCTATTCTATTCATCTCTATTCTAATTTAATCTCTGTTCTATTCTGTTCTGTTCTGTTCTGTTCTTCTATTCTATTCTATTCTATTCTATTCTATTCTATTAATATTCTATTCTCGCCTTTTTGGCTATGTAGTTACAGTGGGCTCTAGCACTTAGATCATTTGAGATGAGTACTCCAAGATCCTTGACAGAGTTTGGATCATCAACAAGGTCTTGACTATTCAGCTTGTATTTTATTTTCTGATTTTTTTTGCCAATATGTAAAACAGAGCATTTATTTGTTGAGATTTGAAGTTGCCATTTGTTTGACCACTCTGATACATAGTCAAGATCTTTTTGAAGGGTAGCACTATTGTCTGTGGTATTGAACAGCTTTACATCATCAGCGAAGAGAACGCAATTGCTCTTAATATGATCACAGAGGTCATTTATGTAGAGTATGAAGAGAGTTGGTCCTACAACACTGCCTTGGGGACACCACTGTTGACAGGTACAGAATTTGATAGGATGCTCCCAATTTTGACCATTTGTTGTCTCTTTGACAGGAATGCTTCTATCCAGTTATGCAGTTGTCCAGAGACCTGGGCATCTTTCACACCTGCAAGGGACAGATGTTGCCTGGGAACGTCTCAAGCCGCTTCTTGCAATCGACTGGGAATCACTGCGTCTCTCTCTCTCTCTCTGTCTCTCTCTCTCTCTCTCCAACGTCTGTAAGCCACCGTCAGTCAAAATTCATATTAGTGGTCCCCGCGATTTAAAATTATGAGTTTGGTGGTCCCTGAGATCCAAAAATTTGGTGACCCCTGGCCTAGAGGTTGAGGTCTTGCCTCACAATCAGGAGGCTGTGAGTTCGATCCTAGATATTTCTCTCTGGGCACACTTGAGAATACATCCTCGGAACAAAACTCTGCATTGGCGACAGGAAGAGCATCCGGCCACTCTGCTAGCTCCATTCAGTTGGCCAGACTCCACCCAGCAAGGGATTATGGGGTCATTAAAAGACAATGACGATAATTCCCGCATCAGCTATCGGTAGTAATATATCTTTCATAGTTTGTAAACACACAATTTCTGCGTTCAGAAACTCCATTCTCTGCCGGAGTGTAGGGGTTCGTTTTTCTATGGGTTATGTGCGTTCCTTTCTCGCTCACTGCTGGAACATGTTAGACCTGGACTCTCTGTCTGTTTGCAGCTGACACCAACTTGGGTTATACCTCCTCTCTACAAATATTACCCACTGTTTAAGTTGTTGAAACACTTCTCTTTTGCTTTTTAATAAATAACAAAGCCAGTATCTAGAGCAGGGGTGTCCAACTTGGTTTCGCTGAGGGCCGCATTAAAGGGGCGTTTTTCTGAAATTCCAGAGCCTTGGATGGCACAGGAACAATCCCGCCCTTGTTTCAGGCCACGACAGCCGGTGTGTTCTGGCTGCCAGGATCCTCCGTGCCCAGGATGGGCTGGAAGGCGCCAGACAGAGAGAGAAATGTAGCTCAGCCCTTCTGAACAAATCCTTCCTTTGGCCTTTCATAAATTCTAGGTTAGGATTCCAGCACTTCACCCCGTTTAAATCACGAGTCTCGAGCCAAACTTCCAAAACTTAAAAAGGATTTATTGGGAGTTAACATGCCGGCACTGCCTGGGTGTAGCCGACTCTGAGGCATGTCATTCGTTGTCACCTTGACCCTGGTTTTACCCCACCCCCCACTCCCTGGGTGTATCGTGATTCACATTCTCCAATGGGACACATCCATAGCCCAGAGTCATCAATCATGCTTTCCAGTTAGAATTTTGCAAGGCAGAAACTTCGGTCACCTAGTTACTATCTTTGAAAAAACATTTATGGAAGGCACTTTTGGTTTTGCAAGCTGCCGCACTGCTCCCCCCTCCCTTTCTGTTATGGCCACTCTAAAAAGACCAGAGAAATATTTTATGAGCTGACATTCTAATAATGCAAGGTTTCCATGGGCCGGGGTGAGCGTGGCCAGTGTGGGCGTGGGCATCTTGACGTCACTTGTGGCAGGCCAAGCGCTCCGTCCGTGGAAATGGGCTCCTGAGCTCTGTTTTCAGCTTGGACGACCTCCTGCAACTGTCTGGCAGTGAAAACGGAGCTCAGGAGGGCCGTGCGCAGCCCTCACGAGCTCGGTTTTTGCTGGTAGAGGAACTTCGCTGTTTCCAGGGCGGCCCCGTGGGCCAGATCTAAGCACCCCGTGGGCCGGATCCAGCCTGTGGGCCTTGAGTTTGACACCTCTGATCTAGAGGGATCATTCACCATTATTAACCCGGAAGAGCAACAGGCGACGGCTGGCAGGCCTGGAGAGATGGCTCTGCGTGCCACTTCTGTCATGCATGGCATAGCTTCGCCATCACAGCTGTATAAAATTTTCCAGTGAGAGTAACTTTGCTGCTTGCAGTTTCCCTTATATACATTCTGTGTAAGGCCAGCCAGCTAGCAGATGTAAGCCCATGCACATGTACAGGTAGTTCTCGACTTACAACAGTCCATTTAGTGACTGTTCAAAGTTACAATGACACCGAAAAATGTCACTTATGACCATTTTTCAGTTACGACCTTTGCAGCACCCCCAGGAACATGTGATTAAAATTCAGTTGCTTGGCAACCGACTCGTATTTATAAACGTTGCTGTGTCCCAAGATCCCCTTTTGCGACCTTCTGACAAGCAAACCAGATTCATTTAGCAAATGGGTTACTAACTTATCAGCTGAAGTGATTCACTTAACAACGGTGCCAAGAAAGGTTGTAAAATGGGGCAAAATGCACTTCACCAATGTCTCACATAACAACATAAATTTGCGGATCAATTGTGGTCGTACATCGAGGACTACTTGTATTACTTGACTATCTTCCAAGCACAAAATTATGCTGGCTAGTGTTTTTTCATTTTGTCTTTGACCTTCCTTATTGATCTGCCGGAGGATTGCTTAAAACTGTCCACAAATCCTCCCTCTGAAGAAATATCTCCATCGCTCCATGAGAAATAAGTTTGTTTCACTAAGATGAGCCACAGGAAATCCTCCTCCTGTGACAGAGAGCATCTTGCAGTCTTCACAGGTCAGTTGTCTTCAAGTTCCCACAGGTTCACGAAGAAACTTTTACCTCAGAAAAATACTACTGGCTCTTCAGGGCGTACCTTGGCCCAGAACCTGTCAGGGAATTGCACAACTGGTGTCCAAATGGAGTCAGAAAGACCGACAAGGACCAGTTTTATATAAATAAGTACTGTATATTTACAGTAAAGCAAACAAGAGCATAACCATGTAAATCAATACAGCAGGGACGTCCTGAGGTAAAATAGAGAAGCACAGAGCACACAGGGGGGGGAAAAGGCGGGAAACCAGGGAATTCCCCCTTTTCACTCACAGCAACCAATCACAGCTCAGGTTGCCTCACGCAGTGGCCAGCTCTCTCTTTAGTTACAACTCTATGTGTTCTTACTCATTGTCCAACCTTTTGCTACTCCAGCTATTAAATTTTAAATACCTTATCAAGGCTGAAAAGTGTTCACCTGTTGGATTGGTAGGAATGCTCATTTTCTACTGAGGAGCAAAAGGAAGTTAAGGAAAAGGACTGAAAGGAAAATCTGAATGTAGTACCTTTGTCAGCACCACTATAGATTTATCCTGTTGGCTCATGGCATCTTATATAAACCATTTCAAGTCTGCCCTGAAATCTGCCAATGTAGACAGGGGGGGCATAATATCAGGGGGACCAGGCATGGTCTGATTATGACAAGGGGGGTGATGTTAGATGGGCC